GAAAATGCACTCACAATTTTTCTGGGAATGTTGACAACTATGCAAACTTTTTCTACATATTGCTCAACTGAAGACTTATGATCTGTGATGTTATCTATCATCAGGCAGTAGTGTATTTTTCCACCTCTGTTAACATTTGGCACAGCCAGTAGCTCACACATAGCTCATTTGAATTCACTATAGATTTATTTTTAGTTCTCTTGGCCTCGCTGTGTTGATTATTCCAAAAAAATCCTCAGGAAACCCGGTGTGTACCGATGGCTTAAATAAGCTTTACAGTTAATATTCCAATTTTTTTTTTGCATGACTAAAAATAGTGCCACCGATCACATTGATTATCCTCTTTGTCAGTAAGGCAGGAAATAAGTCATTTTTAATTTACCTGTCATGTTTTGTTTTTCTTACCTTTTTTTTTTTAGTTTAAAAAAAATCAATTTATTACAATTAGTTAAGTAAGTTTTGGAGAAATATGAACTTCTGAAGTAGAGGTGGAATACAAACATAGGAGGGACTGTTAGGCCTCTTTCCACATGGGGAAGACTCTGTTCTTTAAACAGATCTCCTGCTGATCAGAGCAGAGCAGAGCAGGTGGATGACAGGTCTGTGTCTGCTCAGTTTTCTGCTTTATGAGTGGTCAGGTGTAAATGCACTCCGCTGTCCGTTTTACACCTGACTTCCTACAAATCAATACGTCTACATAGATGAGCACAGATACCCTTCTGCTTGTTTTTTGAAAACCAGGTTAGATTGGAGGTAGGTGGGTATAAATGGACTGCTTATACATCTGTCGGTCCACAGAGATGATTAGACCATCTGATCAGGTCTGCCTGAAAAACTGACAGGTGGACCTGATCGGAGTGGTTGTGAAAGGGGCTTTATAGCATTTTATGTGCATTTGGTGCAGCATGACTAATTTTTTGTAAACACATTACTAAAATAATTCTGCACTAAGGACCCATTGCACTAATGCACACCATTGATCTTTAGTAATGTGCATTGCTCTGGGCAGTGGTTTTGCACAGAGCAGCCTGGATCCCCTTCTTCTCAGGTCACCTGCCGATGCTCCTGGCTTCTCCTTTCTGTCTGGTGCCCCCATAGCAAGCATCTTGCTATAGGGGCACTTGAACAGGCATGTTCCCTAGCCGCTGTTCCGTGTGTCCACGTGGAGCTGCGGCTTGGCCCCATCCCTTCTCTCTCCTCATTGGCTAACTGGCTGTGATTGACAGCAGCGAGAGCTAATGGCTCCAGCTTGCTGTCTCAGCCAATGCGGAGGCAAAGACCCAGAACAGCCGAGGCTGTCATTCACATCGCTGGATTGCGATGGGGCTCAGGTAAGTATTGAGAGGGCTGGGGGGATGCTGTTCAACTGTTTTTTTTTTGTTAAAAGTAGCTTTTTTTTTTTTTTTTTTTTGCTGGGCAGAATAAAAATGCAAAATGTGGCAAAAACGCACTACCATGCATTTCAGCAGCTTCAGAAAATTGTAAGAAAATTGAATAATGTATGGCCAGCCTTACCCTTTAAATATTTAATTATACTTTCCTACTGCATGTTAAGAGAAAGTCTATCCCAAACAATGTAAATGATGATAAGCAACTTTTAACATGAAGATGGGCTCATCTTCTGAGAGACTCTGCTGTTTACAAAATGTACGAACACAAAAGCTGAGTATTTTGGTGGTCTTCGGTATTTTGTACCTTCTGTTAGAAGTGTACTTTGCCTATACATACATGCTGCTAGGCAGGAGTGTGCTATCAATAAAACTGTGAAGGGAGTGTGGCTTGTGTTTACACATGAAACACCAGACTGGATCCAAAGCATCTCCTGGTTATCTAGAGGCCATTGTACAACCATAAACAAACAAGTGCTTTTCAACCCTTAGGAAGTTTTATTTTACAGCTTTGTTGGCTGTAGATAACAGGATAAACCCTATTTCTCCTGGAGCTTTGTTTATCCCAAAATAGAGGCACACTCCACCCTCATTATGACACCATTAGACCTTACTGCTGGAGAAGGCACTGAATTAATACTGATTTTTGTACATGAAATTAGCATTTAACTGTTCAATACCTTATGTCTTGTCATAAATGTTTATTTATTGTCTTAAAAAGTGTCATCTTTTCACCACCATAAACAGCCCCCTTCTTGCTCCTCTCAGTAGTCATCTATAGACATTAGAAAACCTGATTATGAAATACCCATTTACAGAGGAGGCTTAATAAATCATGCACCTTTGCAAAAAAAGGCAAAACCTTATGTTAATTTTTGGATGACATGGGGAAGATTTAGGCCCTCTTTCAAGTTTTTATTGCTTTCTGGGAGAAACACCATTCCATTTGTTCTGGTAACTATTGTTACCAAGACAGAAAGTGAGGGGGGAATCAAACATTTAGAGTTGTCAAAAAAGCAAAAGGTAAGAGGAAGTCTTCCATTGGGGCACCTGTTCTGGACACAGCTGTCTAATTAGGGAATTCCCCTCACGTGATATGGTAAATGGCCAATCACAATGGCCTTTTACCACGTGATGAGCTGTGTCCAATGACACAGCAGATCCCCGGGTAAATGCAGTTATCTGTTACAGCGTGAGGAAAGTACTGCCGATAACGTCCAATTGTCCGAGTGATCAATACTGATGATCAGTGCCACCCCATCAGTCAGTACCGCATCATCAGTGCCACCCCATCAGTACAACCTCATCAATGCTGCCTATCTATGCCACCTCATCAGTGCTGCCTATCTATGCCACCTCATCAGTGCTGCCTATCTATGCCACCTCATCAGTGCTGCCTATCTGTGCCACCTTATCAGTGCTGCCTCATCAATGCACATCAGTGGAGAAAAATTACCTGTTTGCAAAATTTTATAATAAAAACAATGAAAACCTTTTTTTCAAATTTTTTTTTGCTCTTTTTTTTGTTTAAAGCTGAAAATTGGCCTTGGCAGGAAGGGGGTATAAGTGCCCTAGGTTAACCTAAAATGGGACCCCCTCCCCCCAACCCACCATTGCTGCTGTGCCTTTCACCCATTGCCTTTTCCCCTCCACTTCTTCTAACTGCTTCAAAGCTGCAACCATACCATTTCTGGCCCCTTTCTCCCCCTTTTCTGTGTCTCCTAGCACTGATTTCCCTCCCCCCTAACCCCCCCTCTCCCCCCCAGCACTGATCCTCTGTTGCTCTCATGCAGTTACTGGTTTCCCTCTTTTGCCTCTCCCGCCGGTAATTGCATGGGACCCACAGCCTATATATTGTCCTTGTGTATGTGTACGATCAATCTTTCACCTTAAATGATCACCACCACCATCTCCACCAAACTAACTCACCAAATGCATTGGCTGGTATATAATTAAACCAGCATACTCGCAGAAATCCATGGCACTTTTAAGGATGATCTGAAAGTTATATGTAGACCATAGCCCCACTATCTCACTCAAATAGACCCGATGAAAAATATGTCAAGAGAAGGAAGAAGAAATCCTCATCGCGCAAATTGTAAATTTATTATAAAATATGAATATACAGTAAAAACTCAAATTTAAAAGTGTCCAACCTAACACTAGACATATACCACATATGAATGCATCATACTGGCCTCAGCTGCTTAACTCTAACTGCAAACACAAATTTCCAAAACAAGTTGACATCACATCCAAAAGCCACGCCTTAGGTACGTTTCATCTATCGACATCTTCCAGGGGATTTACACGAATATGCTGGTTTAATTATATACCAGCCATTCCATCTGGTGAGTTTGGTGGAGATGGTGGTGATCATTTAAGGTAGAAGACTGGATCGTACAAATACACAATTTTGTTTTTTCACTGTTGTTTTTAGGAGAATTGTGTCACTTAGAAAAAAAAAATGCAATGATATTTCAATGGAGTTTGTATAACACATGTGGACTAGAGAACATTTGTTTTTTGCATATATTTGTGCAAAGTATTTAGTATTTGTTATTTTTGCACATATAGGTTTGAGATAATATCACACATGTAGACTATAGAAAAATTGGGGTTTGCATATAAATTGGTGTATAAACTTTATTTTGTTCACATGGGTGTTGAGAACAATAAGGAAAGCACAAGAGAAACATTTGTTGATTTTTTTTTTTTTCATTTGTTATTTTGTAACATTTGCTACTGGATACATAATCAGAGAATCAGAGTGAGCACTGCCAAAACTTGTCAATATTTATCAGAGCCTAGTTACTCTTTACTTTGACAGCTGCTGCACTTATTGGGTTCTGTGGCATGGCTCATTTTGTTTTTTTGATCCAGTACTATGCTGCCTCCCGCTTTCTGCTCTGCAGTGAAGATGAGAACTGTGTAGGCTGTGGGAAGGAGCAGCAAAGCAGGGCCATGTTCATGATCTACCTGTTGGCTGCCTGTGGTCGATGGCATTAAAAACACCCAACAATCTAGAACAGGGGTCTCCAAACTTTCTAAACAAAGAGACAGTTTACTGTCCTTCAGACTTTAGGGGGGCAGACTGTGTAATTGGCAGTCAAAAAGGTCCCAACATCAGTGGAAAAAATGCCTTAATCTTTCGTGTCAGTGGAAAGAACAGTGCCCTATCATTTTTTGTCATTGGAAGGAATTGTGCCACATCATTGGTGTCAATGGGGGGAATAATGGCCCATTGTTGGTGTTTTAGGAAAAACTGTGCCCCTTCATTGTGTCAGTGGGGGGAATAATGGCTCATTGTTGGTATCAGTGGATGAAATAGTGCCCCAAGGGTTATATCAAGAAGGCATTGGATAATGCTGCTGGCTCTTTTGATTTTCGATGTATTAGTAGGTAGAGCAGGGGATGAGGAACAATGAAACAGAGGGGATGCTGAAAGGTCTGCTGATGATTTGCAGACTGTTGGAATACAGTGTTCATGTTTTCTTTGTACAACAACTATAGTTATATTCTTCAACCAGTAGATGGTTATGATTATAAGTTTGTAGCTGCATCTAAGATAGAACTCTGTGTCTTTCCTCTGAATAATAAGGTTTCTGTTTCCTGTTTGCAGAGAAGCAGCAGATAAACACATGTGCAGGGGCGGACTGACCATTTGGGAACTCGGGCACTGCCCGAGGGCCCGGGGTCGGTAGGGGGCCCCATGAGATGCCCCTGGTACCTTTTCATAGGCTTTTTTGGGTGTGGGTGAGGACACAGGGGTCCCATGATCCCCTCTTGCCCGGGGGCCCCTGAGTTGTCAGTCCACCCCTGCACATGTGGACTGTGCACTGTCTGTTCTGTAGGACTATATACAGAATCTCATACAGGTTATAGGCCCAGACACACACCCAGACAACACACACCCAGCAACAAAAAGAAGGCTTCAAAAGAATAAAAGAAAAATGTCCAGTAACACAGCTGCAACAAAGCTTTCATTTGTAAATCTGACAAACCAGAACAGCAGTTCTGGAAATTCAAGACAAAAATGCTGCTAACAAGAGAAAGTATGTAGAAATCTATAAATGAATCCAGGCCAGAACACCCTTCAGATGAGTGGATAGAGGAGGATCAGAAAGCTCAGAACACAATCTCTCTTAGCATAGAAGAGGATCAAATGATGTAATAAAAAAATATGTAAATATGAAACGGCTAAAGAAATGTGGCAAGGGTTACAAAAGGTGCATGAAAGAGAGCTAATTTTATCAATAAACTGTATTTGATTAAAAAGTTATTCCAAACCAAGCTGATGAAAGGCAAGGATATGCAAGATTACATAAGGCACACCTTGGAGATGGTTGAACGCCTGAGAGGTATAGGAGAAGAAATAAAAGACTTTCATGTCACAGCATTATTACTTAGTGGTTTACCAGAAAGTTATGAAATGCTTTTCACAGCACTTGATGCATGTCCAGATGATGAACTGACATTGAAATATGTTAAGGGCAAGCTTATTAATACATTTTAGCGTAAAAGCATTATTGTGACGGTGCTTCTTTCTCAAGGTCTGCTTTAAAGATGAAAAATAGAAATAAAAACAGTAACATGAAACAATGTTTTGTGTGCCAGAAACAAGGACATTTAAAAGCAAATTGCAGAAACTGGAAAACTAGAATTCAAAAACAAACTAAACTACAAAAGTCTGAAAGAAGAAACTGATTTTTCTTCAGATAATGAATATGTTTTTCAATCCAAAAGTTACACCTCATCTTTGTAGGTATGGTGTGTTGATTCAGGAACTATGAGTCACATGACAAATGACACACATTTCTCTGTTCACCTTGACAAGAGTAAAACAGAAAAAAATCACCATAGGTAATGGGCAAATTATGGAATCAGAAGGAATAGGAGATGGTTTTCTTTATCATCTTATTTCCCACAGTCTCACCAGAAAGATACCTGTTTAAAATATCCTGTATGTTCCTTCTCTTAAAACTAATATTGGTGAAGAAGATCACAAAACAAGGCAATGTAGTGACCTTCCAAGATGACAGTTGTGCCCTTACAAAAGGGCCTTACTTGCGAAGGCTAAAATAACAGATGAACTATATAGTGAACTCGTTGTAGAGCTATTCACCCTGAGGTCATCACAGAGGACAAGGGGGCACTCTTTACATCTGGAGGAAAAGAAATGTAATCTCCAAACACGGAAAGGTTTATTTACAGTGAGAGCTGTGAGAATGTGGAATAGACTCCCTTAAGAGTTGGTTCTGGCCAGCTTAGTGGATTGCTTTATAAAAGGCCTGGATTCTTTCTTAGAAGCACATAATATAACTGGATACTAACATTTATAGGTAAAGTTTATCCAGGGAATATCTGATTCCCTCTTGGGGGATCAGGAACAAATTTTTTACCCTGCAGGAGCAAATTGGATAATGCTTTCCTTGTTTTTTTTTTTGCCTTCCTCTGGATCAACTGTGGGTATAGCATTATAACTTTTTTTTTTTTTTTTTAATGGTTGAACTGGATGGACTTTTGTCTTTTTTCAGCCAGACTAACTATGTAACTATATCAGCTGAACTGCAATTAGGTGGTTAATACTGCCAAGGAGGAAAAACATTCAAACTGCATTCACACATGGCACAGATAACCTGGGAACAAAAGTCCTGACATAATAAAGAAATTAACTGAGAATGACTTTGCAAGTGGAATAAAAATGAGTCCATGTGATCAAATAATGAAATGCACCAGAATTTTGGAAGCAAAGCCTATGTGCACATCCTAAAAGAAAAGTGTACAAAAAATGGATGCTTGCACAAAGGAAGGTGTACTTGTGGGGTACAGTGAATCTCAAAAGGGATACAGAATTCTACACCAAGGCATAAACAAGGTAACCATCAGTGGAAGTATAGTTATCAATGAAACCATCAGTGTGTTCAAAATTTCATGAACTAACATAAACGCTTCAAACTGAGGGAAATTCCATATCCGTGTCACAACACTGATAAGCAACAAAGTGACACAGAAGTAGAAATTAAGACAGACAATCCAAATACTGCAAAAGAAGAAACCAAGCACAAGAGGCTTCAATAAGGAAAGCCACCAGAAGCAATAAAGGAATCCCAGACGAATGCCTGTACTATGTTGCTCACTTAGCATTAAAACCAGAGCCAGATTCATGGGATAAAATGCAAAGACTTTCAACCCATGAGAAACAGAAGTGGAGCAGAGCTGGTGATGAAGAGATGACAACTCTTAGTGAACTACAGACAAGGACACTTTCAGATCTGCCTCATGGTAAGTGTGCAGTCAGCTGTAAATGTTTTTTTAAGGCCAAATGCGACTCTGAAGGCAAGGCCTGTAGGTACAAAGCATGGTTAGTGACAAAAGGGTACTCATAAAAATTTGGTGAGAATTAGGATGCTAATTTTGCTCCAGTTGCCAAACAAAATACTTTCAGAACACTGTTAACAGTGGCAGATTCTCAGAAAATGGTTGTGAAGCACCATAATATCACAACAGCCTTTCTTAATGGTGATATCAAAGAGGAAATACTGTATATATGACACAGTCAGAAGCATACATGAAAAATTAAGAAGAGCATCTTGTAGCAAGTTGCAGAAATCTCTTTATGGACTCAAGCAAATGATCTGGAACATGGGAATTAAAAATAAGCAAAGTTTTGCTAGATGAAGAATTCATACAAAGCAGAGCTGACCTATGTCTATATTCAAAATGTGTAGATTCTGAATATATGTATATTTTACTCTCTGTGGATGACTTGATTGTTGTTCACAAAAAGGATGAGGAAGTTGCAAAGTTGACTGCAGTGCTTAACTAGCATTTTAACTAGGATGTGACATATTACCTAGGAATTAACGTACAGCAAATAGAAAAGGCAGCTCCCTGTGAAAATCAGAAATCTAAAATTGAGGAAGTGCTAGAGCAGTTTGGCATGACTGCTGCCAAAATACTCCCATGGACACAGCATACCTAAAAATGAAAGGGTATGAGGATCTTCTTCCTACTAGTGATCAGTACAGACAAGCAGCGGAGCCATTGCTATATTTTGCAACCACTACATGTCCAGACATCCCAGCTGCCATGTCACTTCTTTGTAGACATGTGAATAAACCAAGTCAAAGAGACTGGACATTAATTAATAGAGTCATGAGATATCTCAAACAAACAAAAGACTTAATTCTAAAGCTGTCTGCTGTTGATGATTTGACCCTCGTAGGATAAGTGGGTAGGTTACCTAAGCACTCCCAAATCCACAAGTGGTTACTTGTTCAAATTAGGAAACAGTCCTATATCTCTCAGTAGTTTTGTCTCAGTAACTTTGTCTTCTACAGAGGCATAATACATTGCCAGTCAACAAACTATGTGGTTACTTTAATTGCTTGAAGATCTTAGAGCCAGTGTTCCAGCCTACAACCTTATATGAGGAAAATCAAGGCTGTATCAAACTTGCCGCCATTGAGAAGTTCAATGCAAGGACAAAGCATTTTGACATCAGACATTGTTACAATCATGATATTGTTGAACAAAATGTAATTGTGCTTACGAATTGTGAGACTAATGACATGATTGGAGATACTTTGACAAAACCTCTTAGAAAGAAGAAATAGATTTATAGAAATGAGATCCAAAATGGGACTTGGATAAGGAGTAGTTGTTCAGTGGGGTGTTGAAATACAGTGTCCATGTATTCTTTGTGCAACAACTACAGATATATTCTTCAACCAGTAGATGGCAGTGTTTAGAAGTTTGTATCTACATCTATGATAGAACTATTTCTCTGAATAATAAATTTCCTGTTTGCAGAGAAGCAGCATATACATGTGGACCATGCACTTTCTGTTCTGTAGGGCTATATACAAAATCTCTAGGACAGACACAGCAACAAAAGCTGCAACATGAGTGCCCTGTTTAGTGTAATAATGTCTCAATTTAGTTTTTTTCCTTTCTAAAACCTCAAAAAAAAAAAAAAAAAAAAACATTCATCTTGATATAACAGAGAGAGTCTGAAAGTGAGGCAACCCAAATGCATGCCTCACTTTTATGGCCCTGATATACTTGTCAAGCAAGCCAAACTAACTGTACACTTTCATTGTTGATTTAAGCCTGGCTAAAAAATGTGTAAAATGTGTAACAAAAGTAAGGTCAACCTCATCCACAAAATGTCATGCATTGTGTCCTCCATCTTCTAATCTTTCTCTTCTCACATTTCAGGAATTTCTTAATGATGACTTCAGTGACTGAAATTTCAAGGTTGGTCCTTCTCATTCTCTGCATTTGATGGCAGTGTTGGCCCCAATCTAAAAGCTGGTCACAATTTTGGTGCAACCTTTTACACTGCTGACATATTTGGTGACTTCTTTGATGGACATCCACTTCTGGAAATGACAGAATTTCATTATCCCTGCTTTGCTGCTGTGATGCAACTGGTAGAAATGACTGTGTGACACATACCCACAAAGCACACCATGTGAACAATTACTCAAGGAAATGCAGTTTTCAGGAGCCTGTTAGGATAAAATAATGAAGCTGACATTGCAGATTTTGTAATGAAAGTTTTTGTATTTGTCATGCTCTTATTTGCTAAATTAAGTGAGCCATACTGTCTTTGTACCTGGTAGCACGTTTTTGAGGTCCAGAATCTTTAAATGTGGTTCAGATATAAAGCAGACCTTGCATCAAAAATGCAAAAACACTTAAAACTATGGGGTACAAATGTATTAAACATACTTTTCTTTACCCTGGCTTCCACCCATGTCACCGAGGCCAAGCTTTTGTGATTTATATTTTTTTTGCAGCATTTTGCCATGGTTGAGGAGAGGGGGGTGCTAAATTTGTAAGCTCCACTGTAAATTCGGGTATTTTTTGTGCTACAAAATACTGGTGTATATTAAAATTTTGAGTATAGATACAAG